TACCCCCATCACCGATTGAATTAGTTATAATCCCTCTCTTTTAAATATTCTCACCTGAGAATATTTTTTCATTTATCTTCAGACAGAGTGTGTGTGGGAGGGGAGAGAGAGAAATATCGATGTGAGACAGACACATTGACTGGCCACATCTTGCATGATCCCTACCAGGGCCAGGGATTAAATTGTAACCGAGGTACGTGCCCTTGACTGGAATCGAACAAGTGACTCTTTGGTTCACAGGCCGACACTCCAACTGTTAAGCCAAACCACCAGGGCTAGTTATAATTTCTTCATCTTCCCATTTAAAGCAATATAGTCCTAACCTACACCTCCTCTTATCTCTCTGCTTAGAAAACTGTACTATTTGGTGTTCCATGAACACATTATCATGCTTTTCTGCCTCTGTGTTGGTTTATGCAGCTTGTTGAAATTCTACTTGAATATCAAAACTCAAACACTGTACTACTTCACTCAAAAACCTAAGTTTGGGGAGTAATTCTTTCCTTTTATTTTCCATAGAACTTATCTGTGCTTTGACATTTATATCCTGCTTTGAAATATAGATTCTTGAGGTCGTGTTTTATCTCCACTAGACTACAGAAACATGTAGGGCATCATTTACATTTTACTTTTTTTCTTTTTAATCCTCACCCGAGGACATTTTTACATTTACCATCAGACAAAGCGGGAGGGAGAGAGAGAGAGGAAGAGAGAGAGAAACATGGATGTGAGAGAGACACATCAACTGGTTGCCACCCACATGACCCCTACTGGGGCCAGGGACAAACTGCAACCAAGGTACGTGCCCTTGGCGGGAACCGAACCTGGGACTCTCTGGTCTGCAGGCCGATGCTCTAACCGCTGAGCCAAACCGGTCAGGGCTGCATCTTACTTTTGATCATTTGCAGGCCCTAGCATGAAGTTTTGCAAAGTAGGCGCTGGAGATTTGTCTCGCTCATATTGGTGAGTTCCCCATCTAGTGGTGAAACTAAAAATTTGCATGCAACTTTTGCTTTAACACAATTATGATACTACAGATTGCTTCAACTTTAATTTATTCTGAGGAATGCATTGTGTTACTTCTCAAGAAGACATAAACCTCTCTTATGGAATTTTTTTCAGTTTTAAATTATTTTTTATTTTTCAATTACAGTTGACATACACGATTATATGAGTTTCAGGTGTACACCCCAGTGATTAAACATTATATAACTTACTAAGTGATCATCCCAATAAATTTCGTACCTATCTGACACCATACATAGTTATTACAATATTATTGACTACATTCCCTATGCTGTACTTTATATCCCCATGACCATTCTGTAACAACCAATTTGTACTTCGATTCATCCCTTCACCTTTTCCACACAACTCCCCAACCCCTCTCCTATCTGGCAACTGTCAAAAAGGTCTCTGTATCTATAAGTCTGTTCCTGTTCTGCTTGTTCATTCATTTTGTTTTTTTGTATTCAATTGTTGATAGATGTGTATTTATTGCCATTTTTTCATCTTTATTTTTTTCTTCTTAAAGAAGATCCTTTAACATTTCATGTAATGGTTTGGTGGTGATGAGCTCCTTTAGGTTTTTCTTGTCTGGCAAGCTCTTTATCTGTCCTTTCATTCTAAATGACAGCTTTGCTGGGTAGAGTAATCTTAGTTATAGGTCCTTGCTTTTCATCACTCTGAATATTTCTTGTCACTCCCTTCTGGCCTGCAAAGTTTCTGTTGAGAAATCAGCTGACAATTTTATAGGAACTCTCTTGTAGGTAACGAATTGCTTTTCTCTTGCTGCTTTTAAGATTCTCTCTTTGTCTTTAACTGATGTGTCTTGGTGTGGGCCTCTTTGGGTTCATCTTGTTTGGGTCTCTGTGCTTCCTGAACTTGTATGTCTATTTTCTTCACCAGGTGAGGGAAGTTTTCTGTCAATATTTTTTCAAACAGGTTTTCAATTTCTTGCTCGCTCTCTCTCTTCCTTCCAGCACCCCCAAGATGCGAATTGATACACTTGAAGTTGTTCCAGAGGCTCCTTACACTATCCTCATTTTTTTGGACTCTTGTTTCTTTTTGCTGTTCTGATTGGGTGTTGCTTCCTGATAGTCCAAATCACTGATTTGATTTTCAGCTTTATCTTTTCTACTGTTGATTTCCTGTAAATTATTCTTTATTTCAGTTAGTGCATTCTTCATTTCTGACTGGTTCTCTTTTTTTTCTTTTTAATATGTGTTTATTGATTGTGTGTGTGTGTGTGTGTGTGTGTGTGTGTATAAGAGACAGAGAGGGAGAGGGAGAGAGAGAGAGAAACATTGATGTGAGAAAGAAACATCAATTGGCTGCCTCCTGCACATCCCCTACTGGGGATTGAGCCCGCAACCCAGGCATGTGCCCTGACAACCAGGTATCGAATCAGGATTTCTCAGTCATGGGACAACACTCTATCCACTGACCCACACTGGCCAGGCATGACTGGTTCTTTTTTATGCTATTGAGGTTCTCACTAAGTTCATTGAGCATCCTTATAACCAGTGTTTTGAACTCAGCATCTGTTAGGTTGCTTATCTCCATTTCGCTTAGTTCTTTTCCTGGGGTTTTGTTCTGTTCTTTCATTAGGGACCTGTTTCTTTGTCTCCTTATTTTGGCAGCCTCCCTGTGTTTGTTTCTAGGTATTAGGTAGAGCAGCTATATCTCTTGGGCTTGATAGAGTGGACTAATATAGTAGGTGACCTGTAGGGTCTAGTGGCACAGCCTCCCTGTTTACCCGAGCTGGGCCTTCCAGCTGTGATACTTCTGCTACTGTCTGGGCTGTGTACACCCTCCTATTGCAGTTGAGTCTTGATTGCTGTTTGCACATCAATGGGAGGGATTTACCCCCAGGCAGATCTGCTGCAAGGACTGGCTGGAACCACCAAGGAGGATCAGCTGTGCAGGGGCCTAGCCCATGGAGCAGGACTTATTTCTTAGGGTCTCTGGTGTTCTCTGAGTCCGCCCCTTGAGTGTGTCACTTGTGAAGGTGGTTGGGTGGTGCTTCGATGTGGTCTAAAGCTCTCCACTAGATGCATTACCTGTGGGGCCTCCTAGGAGGTACAGGCCAAGGTTAGCAACCTCCTGTGTTCTGCCCAGGGCTACAAAGTGATCTGCAGATGGCTGCTACTTGTGCTGGGCTTGGAGATGCTCAAGAGAGAGAGGCTGGCCCTAGTGCCCAGCCTAGGGCCACTTACAGGTAGAGGGCATGCTGAGGATAGATGCTGATTGTTTGAGAGATTTTAGGAAAGTCTGAAGCATGAGCCATTCATATGGAAAAGCCACTGGAAACAACTCGAGTGGGCCCACAAATTGTTAGGGCAGGGTCTCAGGAAATTGCCACCATGGGGGGAACAGTGTGAGCCAGGATGATGGAGACTCAGATATGGTACCCGCCTGCCGGCTCTGTGTGGGGAGGGTTCATCAAAGGAACAATGTCCTCTACCAGCTCTTCTGTCTGAGAGAAAGCTGCCCCTCCAGCTCTTGCCCTGATGCCAGACAATCCAGCTCCTCCCCAATGTCCCTGGTGCCTTTAGAGCTGCTTACCCAGGCTGGAGCACAGAGCTAGTGAGTTCAAGTAAGTCCATGTGTGGGCCCTTTAAGAGGAACATCCAGAAGCTCTCTGTCTCCCTCAGCTCAATCCCCGCTGTGTTTTTGTTTGTTTGTTTGTTTCTTGTTGTTGTTGTTAATCTTTACCCAAGGATATTTTTTCCATTGATTTTTAGAGGCAGAGGGAGGGAGACAGGGATGGGGAAAGACAGAGAGAAAGAGAGAGAGAGAGAGATCAATGTGAGAGAGACATTTATTGGTTGCCTCCCACAGACTCCCCGACTGGGGCCAGGGATCAAACCTGCAAGCCAGGCATATGCCCTTGACTAGAAATCAAACCCAACGCACTTCAATGCATGGGCCAATGCTCTAACCACTGAGCACACCAGCCAGGGTCCCACTGATTTTTACAGCTAGAAGTTATGGGGATTGTTCTTCCTGGCATTGGAAGCCTGGGCTGGGGGACCTGGTGTGGGGCTGGGACTCCTCACGCCTCAGTGGGTACCTCTGCAGCTGAGATATCCCTCCCAATTTTATCCACCCCATGTGAGTGTGGGTCTAGCACTTTCCGAGTCTCTGCCCCTCCTACCAGTCTCAATGTGGCTTCTTCTCTATATCCTTAGTTGTAGGACTTCCATTTAGTTAGTTTTCAGGCGATTCTGAATGATGGTTGATCTGTAGTTTAGCTGTGATTTTAATGTGGTTGTGGGAGGATTCAGGCACTGCATTTATCTTCGCTGCCATGTTGACCAGAAGCTTCTCTTATAGCATTTTTTTTTTTAATACTCACCCGAGGACATTTTTTGTTTAGACAGAGTGGAAGAGAGAGAGAGGAAAAGAGAGAGAGAGAGGAACAGAGAGAGAGAGAGAGAAACATCGATGTGAAAGGGACACATCAAGTGGCTGCCACCCGCACAACCAACCAGGGCCGGGGACAAACTGTATCCGAGGTACGTGCCCTTAGTGGGAACCGAACCCGGGTCTCTCCGGACCGCAGGCTGACGCTCTAACCACTGAGCCAAACTGGCCAGGGCTCTTATAGCATTTTTTATCAAAACACTTTGTCTAAGAAATTTCTCTAGATGAAAAAGATAATACAATCATATAGATTCCTTTACATGGGCAAGCTTCCTTTATCAAGCTCAGACAAGTGTTGTTATTGCTTTCTGACCCATGGCATAAATATCTTGGAATAAATGCAGATATTCTCTGACTCTTCATTGAGCCAACTCATATTTGTGGAATTTGTGAACTACATGATTCTCTACGAGATCTGGTTCCCAGTACTCTCGTCACTATTAATCACTCAAGGACAAGCCCAGAAAAGTTTAGGTTAACACTCGGAAATGCAGGTTATTACAGACATTTTCAGAGCAGGATTCTGAGCGGATCGGGACCTACCCAAGGATCTCGAGGTCTTACCTGACTAAGCTGTCGCTGCTGTCACACTCCACGCCCTCCGCACTCTCCTTCCCCAGGCTTAACGGGTCTCAGGGGAGAACAGCTCTCACCAGCAATGGCATCCTCGTGGATGACCTCAAGAGAGTAGAAATGTCTGGTGACTCGTAAAACAGTTTGGAGACCCTACTTTAGCATTTGGCATCTTTCTTTGAAAACTAGCTTTCTAAAGCTAAATAAAAAATAAAGTCAGGGTGAACATAAAAGGGGCTGCGTGGCAGGCCCGACAAGCTCAGGGATGAAAAGTCACCACACAGGACGGTGTGATCCTAAATTCCCACCTGCACAGGTCACGGCGGGTAGGCATGTCCCAGGCCTCCAGCTCCCTTAGTAAAGGTCAATCTTGACTTACGTGAGCTCTATCCATTATTCTTATGCTTTAGGACAACATACCTTTCACATGTCTGAACAATTTCATTTTCCAGATTCCTCGGATGCACAACCGCTGGCACCAGAGCACAGAACCAGAAACTGCTCGTTGTTACCTTGCTGCCCACGTACCATTTCTACTTGAGGGAAGTGTTCAGTGTCTTGCACTCGCCGGTGTAAAAGAAGTATGTATCTCTCCATGTTACTTTTTATTCAGTCCCAGAGATTCCCCCTCTTTGCTTAGTCCGCCTCTATAATCTACCACCACTAGATTTCGTGTAACCTTCCTTAAATTCTCTTTGATTCTAAAAACATTTTTTTAAACTGCTAATGCTATTCTCTAGAGCATTTTCTCAGTCTCTTGAGATCTTGCTTCTGAGCATGTCCTCAGATTGGCTCAACTACTCGGGTCTCTGCTAGGTCCCCATCTCCTGAATCGAGGCTGACAGTTTGACTTGCTTTGACCAGTACCTTGTGGCAGAAGTGACACTATACAGGTTCTAGAGACTCAGCTTCAAGGAGCCATGAGGCACCAGCCTTTTCCTCCTGGGAACGCTGCCCTGAGACCACCACCTAAGGGAACTGGTCTGGCCTCCTGAAGGAAAGGGGACACATGGAGGAGGACCAAGATGCCCCAGCTGCAGCGAGTGCCCACTGGCAGCCTTGGGAGGCCCAGCTAGCCCTCTGCTGAATGCAGCCCTATGATGGAGCCCAGGCAAAACCTCTGCCTTTTGATAGAAGAACCCCAAGGAAACTTGAAGCCATCTTTGGTCCATCACAGTATTTCTGTTGCATTCATCTATTGCTTTGTAATAGCTATGGAAAAACTTAGCAGTTTAAAGCAACCGCATGTATTTACTAACTGTTCTGAAATTTGGGTTTGCTGGACTTACCAGGACAGTTCTTTGCCTGTGGCTGGGAATTCAAGAGAGGTCCTCCCACAAGTCTGGTGTTTCATGGTGACGGCTGGGACGTCTAGGGCTTGGCCAGTCCGGCACTGTGATAAAATAAGACACACATATTTGATCTTTCTTCCTAGTGCTTGTCACAGAGCTCCCAAAACTCTTGTAATTCCTGAGTGATGGACTGAGAAGAGTATCTTTTGTTAATTATAATAAGCCCCTTTCGACCATACCTGAGTTTATGGTAGCATGATGACGGGGGCTCCAAAAGCCCCCAGATCTGTTAAGAAAGGGGCTGGTCACCAAAGGAACCAACCACGTGATTCGACTGGAACTTTAAACCCCACCCCTAATCTCCAGGAGGAGAGAGGGGCTAGAGATTGAGATAATCACCGATGGCCAATGATTTCATTAATCATGCCTACATTATGGAACTCTCACAAAATGACTAAACTACGGGGTTCAGAGAGCTTCTATATTGGTGAACAATACATCCATGTGCCAGGAGGGTTCACACCCCAACTTCAGGGTACAGAAGCTCCTGTGCTCAGGACTCTTCCAAACCTCACCCTATGAACCCCTTCCTTTGGCTACTCCTGTATCCTTTATGACAGCCTTTACAGTAAGCCAGTAGCGGTAAGTGAAATCTTCTCCTGAGTTCTGTGAGCCATTACAGCACTATCAAACCTGAGGAGGGAGTCATGGACTCCCGATTTGCAGCCAAGCTGGACAGCAGTGTGGGTAACCTGGGAACCCGCTGTGTGTGCCTGACATGTGAAGGTGGGGACACTCTTGTGGGATTGAGCCCTTCACCTGTGGGTGCTAAGTCTGGGTAAACAGTGTCAGAACTGAATTAAATTGTGGGACCCAACGGTGTACACAGGTCCACAGAGAGTTGGAGAATTGTTTGGTGTCAGAAGTGCTGCGAGTAGAGACGTTTTTCTTTAGCCGGGCACCCTTCAGCTCCCCATCTGAGCAGCCGAACCTCTTCCACGTAGCCGGGGGCTCCGAGAGGGCCAAGTAGAAGCTGCCCCGACTTGAAAGACCCGGCACAGTGTCACCGCTGCTGCATTTTGTTGCTCAAAACGAGTCACAAAGCCAATCCAGATTCAAAGGGAGGGAAGTAGACCCCATGTCTCCATGCGAAGAACAGAAAAGAATCTGTGGCCATCTTTAATCTAACACAGTCTCTCCTCAGTCCAAAACTTACTGGCATTTCTCCCACACGCAACATATTTTTCCCTTCTCAAGAGGTGTGCCAAGTCTCATCCAAAAGTCTCATCCAAAAGGGCAGCAGCTCGGTGTTCGGAATGTCACCACCTGGATCAGGTCTGGATGTGAATGAGGTGGCTTGGGTATAGCTTTTCTCAACCTGGAAGCCTGCGATCTAAAAATTCAAGTTATCTGCTATAATACTACCCCCCCCACCACACACAACAGAGCGAGATAACAGCAATAGACACTCCTGTTCCCGGGGGGGAGGACATTGAAAGCACATAGCAGGCACAGGCCCTTAGCCAGTCTGAAACCCAGCCACCACATGGTGCCAGTTTCCCCTGATGCAGAGGCGGGACTGTTAGTCCGTTAGGGTCTGTTTCTGCTCCGTGGACATGGTTCCTTAATCCAGCTGTTGGCTGTATCCTCCTCGGACACCGTTTCCTTTTCCAGGAAAAATGGTTCATGTTTGCAGCTGAGTAATTTCTCAATCTGCTTCTTGCTTATAGAAAGTTGGGGGCCCAGAGCTCTCTTTTGATTTTGAATTGTCTTTGTTCCTTTAGTCTGAGCATGTACTATTCCTTTAAAAACGTTGTGAGTATATTATTATAATTTACTTTATTAGACAAAAGTCATCCACACATCTCTTGGAGACAGGCCCTCTTTTCTTTGAGCTGTAAAGTTTAAAAACAGGTCTTACAGCCACAATCTTAACTTGACCTTGTCTAAGGTCACAGTTTGCTGGTAGCATCCTCATGCCAGTTCTTACTTTGAAAACCCTTTGGGGCAGGAGGGTCTGGAAAAGAGAGTTTTATTTTCCATTACAGCAAGCCTGAGGTTGCAGGTATTTTTTCTAAATGCTGCTTGAAAACTGAACTCCTTTAGTTCTTTCCTTTCCGTATTTTATCTCAGGTAGCTAAAAAAAAAAAAAAAAAAAGAAAAGCAAGTTAGCCTCTTTAGTATTCTACTTGGAACATTACTTTGGCAAGATCCACATTTTCTAACTTCTACATTACTATACTCATTAGCTTCACTAATTGTTCTATTACTTAAAAACACAGATGACCACCCTCCCAGCCTCCAGTCACAATTTCCTCCCTGCTTTTACCACCCCTCCAGCCTTCCCCCGGCTCAGTCTCAAAACCACCTTCTGTGACAGTACCACACCACAGGTACTACGTTCTGTTTCAATGATCTGTTGCTATGTAATAAACCATCCCAAAATGCAGGGGCTAAATTTACACAATGGTTTATAATTTCTCATAATTGTGTGGGTTGACAGCAGTAATGTGGCTACATTCCTCTGGGAGCTCACTGGGGCTGAACTGTCCAAGGTGCACGCATCCTCCAGACTGCGTCCACGTGGCCTCTCATCACAGTGGTCCAGCCTAAGTCAGTGTTCCTAGCTTCCCGAGACACATGCCAAGAGGACAAACACCAGCGTGCAAGTCTCCATCCATCATGCTTGCTAACGTCCCATTGGCCAAAGCAAGTCACATGAGAAAGTCCAGCGTCACTGTGGGAGGAGACACCAAGGGCATGAACACTGGGAAGTGTGTATGTGTGTGTCTGGGGTGGGGGGGAGGGTCACCGTCTACCGCATTGTCCAACTTTGTGTCCTGCCGTTTTCTCCCGGATTCACCATGCTGAACATGCACCACCTGACTTGCACAGGCATCTCTTCCTTGCCCTAGTCTTGGTTTTGTATCTGGATTACTCTATCTCCAGTCTCAAAACTGCTGTTTCTTTTATTTCCTTCCAGCATCAACTGAAATGTCACCTTCCCCCTTTATGATCACATGACCATGTTCCTTTATTTTTTGCAATCTGAAATTATCTTGTTTATGAATTTTCAAACTTGCTTATTTTCTTTTTCTACCAACATATAAGCGGAGGGGATATTTTCTACTCTGCCACAGCTCTGTTCCCAGCACTCCAAACAGGCCAAATACACAGTAAGTACTTAACAAATTTTTTCTGAACGTATGATGAATGAACAAGTGAATGGACAAATAAAGTGCTTAAATCTTAGTGTAAAGAAATTTATAATAAATGTGTTTATTTTTACAAAAACTATATCAAAATTTTAAGCAACTGTTGACTACTAAAACCAAGAGTGATCCAAAACAGTCTTTTTGGAGAACTGGACTTCACATTGGTTATAGCCCATTGAGATATTGAAAATAAATGATATATCTGAGATTTACTTCAAAATAATCTGGAGGACATGGGGAAATGTCGGGGCACAGATGCAATGAGATCGACTGTGACTTGATACTTATTTAAGCTGGGCTAAGGGTACATGAGACTTCATTATACTGTTCTCTTAACTTATAATTTGTTCGAAATTTCTATAATAAAAAAGTTTTAGCCCTCGCCGGTTTGGCTCAGCGGTTGGAGCGTCGGCCTGCGGTCCGGAGAGACCCGGGTTCGGTTCCCGCTAAGGGCACGTACCTCGGTTGCAGTTTGTCCCCAGCCCTGGTTGGGTCGTGTGGGTGGCAACCACTCGATGTGTTGCTTTCACGTCGATGTTTCTCTCTCTCTCCCTCTCCCTCTATCTGAACAAAAATATTGAAAAATGTCCTCGGGTGAGGATAAAAAAAAAAAAAAAAGTTTTAAAGTTACATGTAGATTAATAAGGGATTGAAAAGCATTAGAAAGATTGTGAAAGATTTTCACAATTATAAACTAATTTATTAATATTCCCATTTTTCCTACTTCTTTTGGAAAGAGAATTCTATGCATATATGATGGAAGAAAAGCATTTTTAAAGATTATCTAGAGCCCTGGCTAGTTTGGCTCAGTGGTTAGAGTGTCGGCCCGCGGACCAATGAGTCATGGGATTGAATCCGGCCAAGGGCATGTACCTCTGTTGCGGTTCATCCCCCACCCTGGTAGGGTCATGCGGGAGGCAACCAGTTGATATGGCTCTATCACATTGATGTTTCTCTCTGTCTCTCACCCTCCCTCCCTCCCACTCTCCCTGATAATAAATAGAAAAGTATCCTTGGGTGAGTAATACAAAAATTTTAAAAAGATTATCTAGAAACGTCATTGGCTAGATGACCTGAGGCTTATCTAGATGTTGCATGTAACCTGTAATGGACCTCATTTTAAGATCTTCCTGGAATTTTGCATGCAGAACAGATTTCTGTGGAGCGAATCATTCCCCCATTGATTTCCCTTCAGTTCTGAAGCATGCTCTCCTACCTCCTGTTGACTCCCCTGTCTGCTAATGATAGCTCAAGGCAGCAGCTCATGTAAGCACTGGCGTTTTGCCTTGATCTGGAGCTCAAGGCAGGTATCTGATGCAACAAATTTCTGTGTTTTCTGCCTGGATCAAGAAGCCAGGGAGAGCAGGCGTTGGTGCCAACAGATGCCACCCTCAAGCTGACAGCCGCTTTGCCTGGCTCCAATATCAGGCGGGGAGTTGCTCATCTCTTGGCAGAATTCAATTAATAAGGGACTTTTAATTATTATATATCTTTCATATGAGTGTTAATTTGGGAGAATAGAAAAAAATATATATGGCTTCGTCCCTGATTTCAAATGGCCTGAAGACTTAAAGGGCTCGGGCACAAATCCAGCCTTAGTGCATTATCTGACATTTCCCAGCCAGAATCAGAAGAACACCGTTACAAGGTTGAAGGCTGCCATGTCCTGAGCACTCATTTAAGGAATCAGGACCATGGAGCCAAAGCCTCCAGTGACAAAGCCTACCTGTGAAATGAGCCATGGAACTGATGATGTAGCTGTGTGGGCAGAAGCCCAGGACGTGGCTCTTCTACTCCTGAAAGCCCTGGTTTGTAACCAGCCTCTGCAGGAAGACCATGTTGCTTGGGCATCTCTGCCTCTGGAATAGAGAAAAGGAACCAAATGTGAATTTGTTTTCATGGAAGTCTCTGCACTGGGATTTGTCCTCACCCACAGCTCACAGACACACACTTCATGCAATGCTGCCCAGTTACAAAGGTGGTTGGAGGAAGGCCAGGGCAGAAATGGAGGTGTGGATGGGAAGAACCCCGCAGTAAGAGAAGCATAGCACTTCACAGGAAGCTACAAGCATGGTTTGCTTCCTCTAATCTCACCTCCCCAGGCAGCTAGCTGCAGCTCCTCAGGGAGGTCCTGCATTGGTAGTGGAGAGAGCGCCGGGCTGGCCAGGCAGCATGGGAGCTGGTCTTGACTCATTACTTGCCTCACCTTCTGAACCCTGATTTTCCATCTGAACAAGGAGGGAGGGAGATCTAACTGCTCTAAGATATCAGTTCTAAATACCCAAGAACCAGTAAATAAGTGATGAGATAAAAACTTGGAGACCGCTGGAGAGGGGCGAACTTAGGAGGGGTTATACTGTGGGCCTCCAGAGAACGGGGGCTTCCTGAGGGTGGGCAGCAGACCTCTGAGAAGTAGGAGGGATTTGTCTTCACTTTGTGATTATGTTCAAAGCCCCTGACTGACCTCAGCTTTTTGGAATAAGTTAAATGATGGTATCCACCACAGTGCTCAATAAATGTTAGCCTTCTGCTCCTTCCCTTCCTATAGGTGAAGCCTACCTTCCCTACATAGACCACCTCACCCAGACAAGAAAGAGAAGCACTTCTGATTTGCAAATGCAAACACACACCTATCTCTAGACTTTCTTTATAAAAGACTATTTTTAGTCCTGGACAGTGTGGCACAGTGGTTAGAGTGTCAGCCTGCACACTGAAGGGTTGTGGGTTCAATTCCTGGTCAAAGGCACCTACTTGGGTTGCAGGCTCCATCCCCGCATGCAGAGGCAACCAATCAATATGTATTTCTCACATCGATGTTTCTCTCTCTCTCTCTTTCTCTCCCTCCCTCCCACTCTCTCTAAAAATCAATGGAAAAAAAACACTTTTAAAATTAAAAAAAATATATATATTAATATAGCATAATTTTGCAAAGACCACAGTAGACTTCAGTTACCAAATTAAAATACAAAAATATTTTTATTGGAATTCAGTTGGATCTGAGAATGTTCCCATTTACAGATTCCCACAATAAAATAGTAGCTTAATCAAAGACTTATTTAATGCAAATATTTGGCATCCTACCAGAAAGACCATAAGGCTATTGTCAAATCAGTTTAATTTCTGTTACAAGCAGTAAGGGGGCCATCTGCTGTGGTTGGCAAAGAAATGAACATACTTCAAAATGCAAACACATCTCAGTCTCCCCTGCAGATCTCAAAGCAGGCACCTTGGCTATTGACAATTTGGATCTAAGATTTAATCCAACGTCTTTTAATAGGCAAGAGATATTAGATAATAAAATGTTCTATTTATTTGCTATTATGAAGGATGACAATTTCTTAGCTTAATACTTTGTGCCTTCTTAAGACACTCTATTCGAAAGCATGAGTGGCAATTCAATTCAGCAAACTAGGATAGTGCCCCTGCTGTGGGCAAGTCACCGAGCTCTGTGCTTTGAGGCATAGTGAGAGGGTAGGGTGTTTAAGGAGCTTCCAATTTAGTGGGGATTTAGACACATACATGGTTGTCATACAGGGCAGGAAGATACTGTCACAGAGGCCACTGGAATCTTCTTATTTTATAGACAGGGGTGGCAAAGGCTTCCCCCCCAGATAGCGGTGAGGTGGATTTTGAAGGAGAGTGTGATTCATTAGAAAGAGAGAGGGGTGGGGGACACCTGAGCAAGACTCAGAGGTGTGGGAGTGTGTGCTCTGCTCAGAAAATAGCAAGTGATTCTGTTTGTCTTGATACATTTTGTAAAACGAAGCTCAAAAAGTTGTGTGGGAACAATAGTGGACATCTGTTACGGCTTTTTTGTTTGTTTGTTTTCTTGGTTTTTGCATGTCTTTGATTCCCCTTCTCTTGGAAACAGCCTCCTGATTTTTCCTTTAGGGAAACTATCCCCGTTTATTTTTCAACTCATGCGACTTGAAGCTGATTGTGCAATGCCATGAATACCATCCAAAGAAGCTTGGAGTTTAAGTAATATATTTTAAGTATCTTATTTAATAGAACAGGGGATCACAGAAAACATTTTAAATAATGTTACGTTCAAACATATACAGAAGTTTAAAAAAATCTCTATAAACCCATACTCAGACTAAACAATTACCGAGATTTTATCATTCTTCCTCTGTCTCTCACCAAAGTATTTTAAAGTAAATCCCGGACATCCTGTGTTTTCACTTCTACATATTTTAGTGTGCATCTCTAAAAAGTATGGGCATTTTCTAACAAGCAAAATGCCGTTATCATACCTAATGATTCCTTGTGATTGACTAATACCCTGTCCGTATTCACTTTTCCCCAATTATCTCAAAAACATCTTTTCCTGCTGATTTGTTTGAATCATGTTCTAAACAAGGCCCACACATGGCATGTGGCTTTTATAGCTCTTAAGTCTATTTTAACCTATAGCAGCCCTCCTTACCACACTTCTTTTTTCTTTTCCTTTTTTTTTTATCCTCACCCGAGGACATTTTTCCATTTTTTTTTTTGTTCAGACAGAGTGGAAGGGAGAGAGAGGAAGAGAGAGAGGGAAACATCGATGTGAAAGGGACACATCAAGTGATTGCCGCTTCTTTTTTCTTTATGTCATTGGCTTGTTGAGAAAATCATGTCAATTGTCCTGAGAATGTTCCCAGTTCCGACTGGTCTGGCTGTGTCCTTGTAGTGTTATTTAACTTGTTTCTCTATCTCCTGTATTTCTTGTACATGGAAATTACCCAATGTCTGCTTGTCTCACATTTATTAATAGTAATGCTAAGAGGAGCTCAGTGGGTTAAGGTGGCAATGACCTGATTCTTCCACTATAAAATTTCTTAACTATCTACTGCCTATCGATTTCATCCATTGATGATCTTTGCCTGATCACTAGGGATTGTAAAGTATTGGTTTTGTAGCCCTGGCCAGTTTGGCTCAGCGTTTAGAGCATGGGCCCACAGACCACTGAGTCGCGGGTTTGATTCCGGTCAAGGGCACGTCCCTCAGCTGCAGTTCATCCCCAGCCCTGATCGGAATTGTGTGGGAGGCAACCAATCGATGTGTCTCTTTCACATCGAGATTTCTCTCTCTCCCTCCCTCTCCCTCCCACTCTCACTAAAGATAAATGGGGAAAAAATATCCTCAGTGAGGATTAAAAAAAGTATTGATTTTGTAATTTTATTCCTCTTTCACACTTATTACCTAAACTTTTTCACTAAAGAAAGATGTTCTGTGTCAAGTATGGCTGTTTGGTGATCCTAAATATAGTTGATCTAGGAAAGACAAATTTTCTTATAATTGTTCATCTTCAAGATATTACTTAAAAATCTTTTAAAACTGAAAAATATAAGATGTAAAATATAAATAAAATATAAATAAATATAAAATATATTAAATTAATACCTTAATAAATTATTGTAAGCAAACACCTTTGTAACCACCACCCAGGTGAGGAATTAGAACCGTGGCAGCCACCCAAGAAGCCTTCCGCCTGCCCAGTTACTGTGATTTCTACAGTGATCATTTACTTGCTTTTCTTTGTATTTTATGACCCAGTGTGCATCCCTAAACATTATACATGAGTTTCTTTATTTATATCTTTTAATTTTAATATGAACTTTTTTTTTATCCTCACCCGAGGACATTTGTGTGTGTGTGTGTGTGTGTGTGTGTGTGGCATTTATCTTCAATAGAGCAGGAGGAAGAGAGGGAGAAAGAGAGAGAGAGAAACATTGATGTGAGAGAGACACATCAACTGGTTTGCACCAACACGACCCCAATAGGGGCTAGGGATGAACTGCAACAGAGGTACGTGCCCTTAGCAGGAACCGAACCCAGGACTCTCTGGTCTATGGGCCGACGCTCTAACTGCTGAGCCAAACTGGCCAGGGCAATATGAACTTTTAATATGACTATTTTTTATTTTTTATTTTATTTTATTTTATTTTTTTCCTCACCCGAGGATATTTTTCCATTTTTTGTACAGATAGAGTGGGAGGGAGAGAGAGAGAGAAACATCGACGTGAAGGGACACATCGAGTGGCTGCCACCCGCACGACCAACCAGGGCCGGGGACAAACTGCAACCGAGGTGCATGCCCTTAGCGGGAACCGAACCCGGGTCTCTCCGGACCGCAGGCCGACGCTCTAACCGCTGAGCCAAACTGGCCAGGGCAATATGAACTTTTAATATGACTGTTTTTTAAAAGTCTCTTTTACTCTACAGGTTCCTGTTTCACTGCCCACCCCCCACCCCCCTTAAACGTATTTGTTAAAACACTTGACTGTTTGATCTACAGAGTTTCCCAGCCTCTGGATTTTACTGATTGCATCCCCATGACACACTATTTCATGATCTATGTACTTGCTGTAAATTGGTAATTGTATAGAGGGACTCAATTAGATTTCAGTATAATTTTTTGGAGACCAGACTACTTCATTGTGATTTGTGTTCATCATAAGACTACATCATGCCTGTTTGCCTCTTTTTATCATGTTGGTAGCTATCAATACCTATTGTCTGGATCAATTCAATTCATTATGGGTTGAAAAATGATGATATTCCAATTTTATCATTCCTTCCTCATTTATTAGTTAAAATACTTCTATATAGAACCGCAAGGTATTATTTGGTTATCCAGGGGTACAGCTGACATAGTAAAAGTAGGAACCAAAGAACTGTAGAATTAGAGTATCACACAGTTACCATTTGCATTGTCTTGCATTATACACACAACAGTCTCAGCAAAATCACCCATTCTACCACCACCATTATTGAAAAAGTTTAAAAGTTGTTTGCATATAATATGCAAAAAATATATAAAATAAAAATTTAAAAATTGTAGGCATATACTCTCTCCATTTCCTATAG